TGTTTTAAAGATAAATGTACAGGGGAAACCTATGATGAGTGCAATATGTCTAAAAGGTGCGTAGAATTACCACGGTTGGAGGTGTTAGAAATTGGGATATACCCCTCTATAATCCTACATCCTTTACTTTTTCACCCCTTATTTTTTTCAGAAATGATAAGGATCATCAGAAACGTCAAAAAAAGAAATTAGAGTGACTTTTTATTAATTTGTATATTTACTTTTCTATCCCTAACTCAGCCGCCTTTGGAACACTAAAAAGGCGTCAGAACTGTCGAAAAATTAACTTATGTTAAGTCGACTTGTAATATGCACTTTTGAGCCTGAATACAGACTGAGATTTTGGAGACAAACAAACCGTAGGTTTACTCCTTCTACCTAGTATGAATTCCTTGGTGACACCTACTTAAGCTATATGGTGTAGCGGACATTTGCCGTTTCTAGACATTAGACATTTTTCATAAGCCTGTAGGCTAACAACACGTAAGTATAATCAATAAAATACAAATCACAGAGGTTACATGCTCATCAGAGTGATTATCAATAAATTCATGGAGTGTATAAGGAGTGCACTCAATTTTTAGTGCTCAATTTCTGTAGTCTTGTACTTACTTCCTACGCCAAAACTGGTGAGGAGGTATTGTAATTGCGTAAAATTGAGATACTATGTTTTTTGGATGTTATAAGACATGTCTGTCTGTTTGTCGGTCTGTCCGCTAATTTTCAAACCGATAGCTTGAGAAGTATCATTCGGATTTTGATGAAATTTTCACATAGGAATTTTACGATGCCAAGGATGAAAAAGCTTTGAAGTTTTTAAAATCGGTTCAGTGGGGGCGGAGCTAGGGGCAAAAACACGGAAAAATAATAAAAAACACTCAAACTTTGTTTTTTGGCGTTTCAGAGACTACTTCATTTTCGAAAAAAATCTTGCAGTTGTCAAACTTGGGGGTTGTAGGGGTCTTTTAGTCAAAGACGTTCGATCACTCAAAAACCTTTTGATCCCGGTAACACAATGGGTAACAAACTCCAGCTGGTCTGCGGTGTTGTCACTGACAAACCGCTACAGGAGAAATATTTACATATTTTAGCAATATTTGGATATTAGGTGTACGTACCACTTGAATTACGTAGTCGGAACTTCAAACTCCGCTTTCAAAAAACTTTATTTGATTCTAAAAATAATATAGGAACACACATCGAACCGGCATTACAGTGTGTGTGTGTGTGTTCGCTGTGTTTGACCCGAAAAATGAGATAAGATCGTTAATATAAACCAAAAGTGCTGAGCTAGGGAAAAGGAATACAATACAATTATTACCTATATTAATTAATAAATGGTAAAAAGATGGCAGCATAACTCTTGAGACTGTTTTCATATCTGCACATTCTTTTATGAATTTTATGATCACTAAATGTACCACCATGTACTAGCGATTTTGTCTAACCTTTAGTTTGTGTTACTCCATCTACGGTGGTTCTCTTAATATTTCGTCAAGTAGATTGACTCAGTACATAAAACGCATCGATATACATCAGACAGGGACTGACAAAACGACATAAATGAGAAATACAGGCTTGTGTGATGCAGATATCTTTGAGCAATAGAAAACTTGTGAACGGAAGTTCGAGCATTATCGCGAGCTTATTACTTTCATGGTTTGGGTGCTGGTAGATTTTGAAAATAGATCGGTAGACGGTGAGAATAAAGTCGCTGGAACATACTGCTACAACGTTTCAGAGATTCCTGCTCATTTTCAGACATTGTTTGGAGGGAATTATATATAATGGTTGGGAATTGTTGCATATTTGGTGTCAGTAAACGCCCTTCTATTGTTAAAAAGCTGCTGATCGCAGTGATACTTTGCACCTGTTAGACATAATAAGTCGTACATAACTTCCCATCATCTGCCATGTAAACGGAAATACGATAGACTTCCTTTATATAGTCTGATATGCAGACGTCGAAGATTCATCGTACTTAAGTGAATCTACCTAATCACGATTCTATTTCGCTGTTGTAACGATTTGACTCATCCCTTTTCTTTGAAACCTCCAACGAAGGCGTAGGAGGTATAGAGTCAATCTACTTGGCGCCTTTTTTATGTGGCGAATATATACTGGAAGATGGGCAGGCTTATAACAAAATATTTTTTTCATTTCTTGAATGAACTTTATCAAATGATTTAGTGTTAATTATGATTTATAACCTCTTGCTCGTGATGGCGGGAGTTATTTTGCTGTGAATGAGGGTATATGCTGTGCTCATCCCCTAATTTGGGAGATGGCGGGAAACATCATCGTCGTCTTGATGTCTTTGTCATGGCTGCTTCTGGAGTTGATGCTTCGAAATGATCACATAAATCTTCTTTATAGAGATGGAACTACTTTAATGATGCGAATATCTCATAAACAGGCATTCCCTTATGGATAATAAAGGCGGGCTTCCCTCATTAAGGACGTTGTGTGGAGGAATGTATGAAAATTTGTTTAAGCAAATGTAAAAAAAGTCAGTTGAAAGCCGTCAAAAAAGGTACGTGTATTATGCAAAAAACCTAAAAACGTCAAAAAAACACAAAATGTCATTTTGCAGACTAGGTAGTTTTAGGTGCAAATAGTTCATTCCACGTATGCTCGCTATGATCGCTGTGAGCGTTCATTTATAAAGGAGTGACGCATTGTTGGTTGCAGAAATCAAGTATGTATATGTAATCAGTGATATTTGCTATGTGATTAAAATTATTACAGATTATGCTGCCAGTGAAGTACATCTATATGCTAAGACGGGTTATTTATTATGTTGTCCTTTCTGGAGATAGGTTATGTTCAAAGTTATAAATACGATTTTTCCCGTTTTTTGTGTTTTCAAAAACTTTGAGGAACATTACGGCAAATCGCCACCGCGCTCGCTTTGTACGGAATCAAGCCACATCATAGAAAAATTACAAATCGCGCATCACACATCAAACATTTTCGCAGTACCTCATATCTAGGTGCTGATTTGTATTTTCTATTGACATCGCAAAATAAATTTCTATAAAATTTAAGTGACTGGAAACAAAAAATAATGTAATAGCCTTTTCACTTTCATAACTCTTTCTGTCTGTAGCATATTTTCTCACCTGTTACTTCAAACAGAGATTTTCTTTTATTATCTCTCTCATTTTTTACATCCAGCGTACGTAATTTCCAAAATAAATAAAAAAAAGTAGGATGAGCAACTAATTTCTAGCTTTGAATCTCAAGTAAATGTGTTTGAGACAAGAAACCAATGGAATTATCATCAACACATATTATTAGCACACAAATCCTTAGTATGCACTTATGCACTGCCATTTCCTTCCAGCTACAGCATACAACTTACAGCTTAGACCTCCAATAATGTTACATCACATCAGAGCCAAACATTGATAACTGAAGCATCATGACGTTCAGTTAACACGTACAACTACAAAACGAGTTCACAACTAGTGTCCATCAGCTTGTGCTAAGTTAACATCTTGTAGAAAAACCTACGTTTTGTCAAAAAAAAAACAGGTTACGTCAAAAAAAAAACGACCTAATGCCACTTTTCAAGATACGTAATACCCGTGCCATATTCAATAAAAAAAATAAAAATCGTCGTTTTTTAATGTTTCAAAGACTCCTAATTCTAAAAATTGTACTTGTGGTAAGACACAAAATAGGTATAAAGTGTCCTAGTCAATGCTGGGCGAACATCCACGAGATCAATTTGTTACCTGAATAGATGAGAAGAAGTCAATGATGTCCTGGCGATGTAACAGTTGCGGCTACCAGGGCAATATAATTGATTGAATATAACAACATCAGGGCTGTTTAGGTGTAAAATAACCAATAGACTAGGGTTACCTGATGATATGACAAAAATATCTAGGAAAAACTTCAGAAAGCTTTTTTTTATTATAAAAATTAAAGTTATTACAGTAAAATACTTTTTTGCCAAGTCATGAGATTTCACATCAAACATATGAGATCAAAATATGAGACGATTAAAATATACTCATTTTCTACTTTGTCACAAGTGTTTTGCATTTGAGTTCGCTGATTCTAACAATTTGGTGCCATCAAAGTTTCATCTTATTAATAGTTCGGCTTTAATTAAATCTATTTTCATTATATTTCGGTATACAATTTATTTAATAAAAAATGTGATTTGTTAATTGTAGGAACAATTTGTATTTTGCTGTCACTTAGGTCATCTTACGAAATGTCGGGACAGGCCCGACTAATCTCTACCATCTGGTAACCCTAGAATAGACGTTCACCAGTCTTCTGCGAATATGAAGATATTTCGTGGAATCTATTTCTAGTAACTACTTATTCCTCAAGCAAATAATACTTGTTTTCGATTATATCAAAATAAAAATTAATCTGACAATACATTTTATTCAATTATATTCAGTATACAGCTGTAAAAGGGTTTCCATAATTAGCCAATAGTAAAGATATCAGATACTAGAGCGTAAGAAAGTTAATTCAGGTACGATACACCGTGCGTATTAAAAGTCCATATTTCAATTTTTGCCTGATATTTATTCTACTCTTATTATATCAGGATACAAGGATTTTCATTGCCGGCAAACAATAAAGATACCAGAGCGTACAAAAGTTCACTCAGATGCGTGATACACGTACAAACCCCCTTTGTCCAGTATAGGCTTATGTAGACTGGAAATTCATCAGATTGACGCTAGTTTCTAACGATTAATAATGATTCGGAGATAACAGAAAATAATATCATCAAAGAACTATAAATTATTATTGTTTAAAAAAATAAAATTAAAATAAATAGGCACGGAATCACGTGACAAGAAACAAGTGTTACATCATGTCGTGTCGAACATCTTGTTGTTGAGATTTTTATGTGAGAGGCTATCACGCTAGAGAAATTTTTAGTTTTTAGCGGTTTTTGTCTAGTGATTTGAAAAACAAGTTTAATCCGGAATCAGGATTCATCCAAGCAATCAGCAGTAATTTACCCGAAATCGACGCCCTTATGCTGGGAAAAGTTTTCACATCCAACAGACACTTTCATCGGAATTCTGTAATGTTAAAGTATAAGTATATAGAAGTGTAAAATATATGTTTTCTGCTCAAATGGTATTATTTCAGTTTTGTATGCGTACATAACTTACAGGCTTTGTGGTTAGATTTGCGAAGTATAATCATAGCTAAATTTGATTTGATTTCTGGTCCTCTCGAGCTTCATATGGAGATGATGCCATAAGTTAAAGACAACTTAAGCATCACAAAAAAAGTGTAGTGTGCTACCTCAATATGTTTTACTTGTACATGTTTTGACATTTCAACATGGATAAATTGTCGAAGATATATAATGTAAAAGTTCAAATTTTTGGCAAGGAAAGGCCACATCTATAAATCCATTGTAAACAGTGAATATTAGACTTCCAAGATTTTATCATACTCGCATTTTACAAACAGCATTTATGTATGGTAGACTGGCAACGCCGCCGCTGATTTGTGTTTGATACTGTCTCTAGTGTGTGTCTAGTTCGGAGTACAGTTGACTAAAATAACAATCTAACCTCTGTTTTGCGATTTTCATTTATTGGGAAAATAAAATAAAAATTTAGAGAAAATTACGATACCGATAGACTTACGTAGTCTAGTAGAGGGTATTTAAACCTTTGTCTTGTGTTGCCATGTTTCCTCTACTCGGATAAATCTATCAATAGACACAAATCAAATTCAAGCGAATGTCCAAATGAAAATGGTATTTACCATTTTGGATTGGTATTACCGATCCGTTGAAGCGAGTGTGGTTATCAGTTGGGTTACAATGTCAGTGACGTCATCAATCAGCTATTATATGTCATAGTTATCACCGTAAAATTGTGGTATTTAAATCAAATTCAAGCGAATAACCAAATGAAAATGGTATTTATCATTTTGAACAGGTATTTAACGATCCGTTCAAGCGAGCGGTTATCAGTTTGGCTATAAGATCCGTGGCGTCATGAATCAGCTGTTATATGTCATAGTTATCACCGCAGAATTGTGGTATTTACCCAACTCAGGAGTAGTTTTATATTTCTGGTTATTATTTGAAATGTGACAAGTTAGAATTTGGCCGGGTATGGGATATTTTTGTTGTACTTCAGGTTCATTTTTGGGAAACTTGATACAGGCTGACTTCAGTTGTAGAATAAAGTAGAGCACCTTATTAGTTATATTCATTACTGTTGTTGGAGACACTTTAAATCTAGTTCCTATGCTTAACAAAGCATCCTGCGTAGCCATATACCACAAGAATATTAAAATATGGCGATAGAAGCTCACTGGTTAAAGCCATGTTTTCACCATTAAAATTTTGGGTGTCACATCTTTTATTTTCATCACAAACTTGTACAAGTATAACAGAGATTTTCTCAAGTGATTTTACACCTGAACAATATCTTCTGAAAAGAAAACATTTCTCCCATTAATATTATGAAAGTTTTCTTTCTTAAACTTTCCATATCTCTGTTGTAGACGAAGAAGTATCGATTATTAAGTAATAATAAGAATAATGAGAAATTATTCACGCACTTTTCTAAAATAAACAGCTTGCAACAAAACCGCGGGTAAAACCAACGCGTTCAAGCGATTCGAGTAACTGACCTACTTATAACCGCGCTAAGTAACACAGAAATTTTAGTTATTCGCTTGGATTTGATTGTAGAAATCTGAGAACTAAATTTAATTACTTTTGCTTCAGATTTAAGCATATGTTGTATAAACAATTACATCAAAATGATCTTCACAAAAATACATTATTGAATCTGTAAAAAAGCTACAGGCGTCAGCTCTCCTTGCAAGTGGTGTTTAGTTTGTTCATTATTTGGAACATATATGAATAATTTGTTTGAAGTTTTTATAGTTGTGCTTTCACTTTGGGGTACTATACAGCACTTTTAATACGAATGATTCATTTTTCATTAAAGAAAACGAACAAAACTAACGTTTATATAATATAAAGTTATGTATACTCATCATTGTTACCCATAATATGGTATGTTAATAAGTTTCACATTTGTGAGGTGAAAAATGGCATTGCCATCCCCCCAGCCTTTTAGGGTATTATATGTTTTGTATTTATGTTATGTATATACTCCAATAAACATTATTATTATTATAATATTCAAATTGATCTTTGAAAAGGCAAAATACATACCGTAAAACGGGGCTACTTGAAAATAGCGGAGTAACTTGAAAATGAAAACTTTTTAATCAAGTGCTGCCACCGAACGGTTTGCCCCATAAACAAGAATCCGGAGTCATCTGACAAAGCATATCTGCGTGCTACTTATCAAGGTTGTTATGCTTGCTCTGGGTTTACCGGTGTCGTATAGATGCAACCAAAAATATCGCAAAAATGAACTGTTTTTTGTGGTCTAAATACTTCCATTTGCAGAGTTCCTATCACTATTGGTAAGTTGTGATGTTAAATTTTGGTAGCACCAGGCCTTTTTGGAGTGCCGGGAAGAGGTCGCTGATGAAGACCGTGCTGGAAGACCTTCGACATCGACAAACACCGATAATGTGACTCGTATGCGCAAAGTTTTGAACTCAGATCGTCGACTAAGTGTTCGTTTAATTGCCCAGATGTTAAATTTACCAAAATCTGTGGTTCATGACATTGTGACAAAGCATTTGAACATGCGCAAAGTGTGCGCGAAGATGGTCCCAAAAGTGCTCACTGACGACCAGAAATTGCGGCGAGTGGAAGTGTACCAAGAAAATTTGAACATGTGTGAAAGTGACCCCCAATTTTTGAATAACGTAATCACAGGTGACGAGTCGTGGATCTTTGAGTATGATCCCGAGACAAAGAGGCAATCTTCCGAGTGGCACACGACGGCGTCTCCTCGCCCAAAAAAGGCAAGAATGAGCAAATCCAAAGTGAAAACGATGCTCATTGTCTTTTTTGACATCAATGGCATCGTCCACCATGAATTTGTTCCTCATGGACAAACCGTCAACGCCAAGTTTTACGTGGAAGTGCTCAGGAGACTCAAACGAAGGGTTAGTCGGGTCTGACAAGACATCGCAGCCGACTGGAAGTTGCCCCACGACAACGCCCTGGCTTACACTGCCTTTCTTATGAACAGCTACCTGACCAAGGCCGGCATCCCAACGCTTCCGTAGGTGCCCTACAGCCCAGATGTGGCCCCCCGGACTTTTTTTGTTTCCTCGCCTGAAAAGGCCGATGAAAGGCAAGCATTTTGAGACGACAGAGGGGATCCAAGCAGCATGCACCGCGGCTCTTAAGGCTATTGCGGAGAATGCCTTCCGTGACGCCTTCAATGCTTGGAAATCGCGCTCTCAGCGCTGCATCGACGCAGAAGGAGCCTATTTTGAAAGTTTTTAAAGAATTGTAACGATTGCCTCAATAACTTTTTTTAAATCGACTCAGTCCTGTTACTTTCCGGACAAACCCTGTATAGTCAAGAGGACTTTAATAACGCCGTGCAAAGTTATGAAAGAGGAAATTTAATGAAACTCAGCGAACAATACAATATACCATATGTGATATATAGAAAAATTAACAAATTGCATTCCCAAAATCCGGGTCATCCTACTGCGTAACCAGATGCTGATGAAAAAGCCCTTGTTAAAGCAATTTGTAAGGTTTCAGAATGGGGTTTACCTTTTGAGTCTTCCGATATACAAAGTTTGTTTGAAAACTATTTAAATAGAAAAGGCGCGCTAGTAAAAACCTTTAAAAATAATGGACCTGGTGTAGACTGGATGGAGAAGTTCCTAAAACGGCACAAGGAACAGCTGTCGAAGAGAATGTCGCAGTTGATTAAACAAAGTAGAGCGAAAGTATAAAACCATTAATACATATTTTGACGATTTGTCAAGAGTCCTAGAAAACGTGGCTCCCGAAGCTGTCGTCAATTACGAGACAAACTTCTCGGACGATCCCGGCCTCTTCAAAGTTATTGTCAAAAAGCAATCAAAAAGAACGGAAAAAACCATGGACACATCTAAATCGTGTATTTCAGTGATGTTTGCGTGTTCTACGTCGGGTGTTATGCTACCGCCATACGTAGTTTATAAAGCAGATCATCTGTGGAGCACCTGGACAGAAGGTGGGCCTGCAAATACCAGATATAATAAAAGCCCGTCTGGTTGGTTTGATGGCAATATCTTTGATGACTGGTTTTTAAGTATTGCCCTTACCTATTTCAAAACCTTACCTCCTGGCCGCAAAGTCTTAATAGGCGACAATTTGGCAAGTCATATTTCCATAGAAGTGATACGGAAATGCGAAGAGAATGACATCTGCTTTGTTTTGTTGCCGCCTAACAGCACCCATTTAACGCAGCCTTTGGACGTTGGCGTTTTTAGACCTATTAATGTCAAATGGCGGCAAGTCCTGAAAGATTGGAAGGCTAAAAATAAGGGCACTATAAGAAAGGACGTATTTCCTAGGCTGTTAAAGCAATGCTAAAATAGTATTGGTGCTAGTACTGAGCAGAATATTAGATCTGGCTGTGAGGTGACTGGTATTGTACCAATCAGTCGACAAAAAATCTTAATTAAACTTCAAAAATAAGATGATCCAAAAGAAACAGCAGAAGCAGAAAATATTTTAGGAGAATCTTTAAAACAGGTGTTTCAAGAGGCGAGATTTGGAAAGGCCGGTCCATCCAGTACAGAAAGAAGAAAGAAATTAGACGTTGAACCGGGGAAAAGCATTTGCCAAAAAGATATTGAATGTCGTACTACCACTACAACTGCTGAAAAATCGAAAAATAAACCAAATAAAAAGCTAAAATTGAAACTAAAAGAGAAGACAAAGAGGAAGAAAGCTCACACAACTCTCGTTCTCAAGCTCCGATAGCAGCGACGAAGATCTAGCACTACCACTCCATTTACAGAAATCTTACACTGGGCGTGATGATAGTGATGACGACCCGGAAACATTTTCGGATCTAGAAAACGATACCCTCTATAATGAAACCTTTGAAGACGAAAACACTCCAGAAAACCCATTGGAAAATGAACTTGGAGCAATAAAGCAAATTAAATGTCCGATGGTGAACCCTCGGAAAATGAAGAATTCATGTGTGATGATTATATTTTCATCAATCTGAAAACAGAAAATGGAAGCACTAAAGAGTTCGTTGCGAAAATTGTTCCCAGGAAGACGGATACTTATGCACGTTTTTAAGAAAAAGTGAAAAGGTGAAAAATAGTTATATATATGCCTTTCAAACAACTTTTCTATTTTGTAATGAAGAATTTTTTTTGTAAAAAGAGGTCAAATAAGGTTTTCAAGTTTATGGAAGAATTATAGAATGATGTTTTATATAGATATGTTTTTTATGTTTTGTTATTAATAATAAAGGACCTTACCTACTTATAATATATTTTATTTTGTAAAAACCGTTTTTTTTATCGATTTTATTTAAACTATAGAGGGGCTACTTGAAAATTACCACTTCATATTTTTTTTGCAAAAATGGTGAGGTCTAAAAAGTTTTCTAATAAGGAAAAATCATCTATAGACCATTTTGACCAACACAGTAATTTTTACTTTCAAAAATACCTTTAACATCTTTGTTTTCGGAACGAAGTTTCGTAAAAGTTTTATCAAGTAGTCCCGTTTTACGGTACCGTAAAGGTTAGTTTTTTTGCGTAAAACAAGTTTTTTTTGGCGTATATCCTCGTAGATATTAAGGTATATATTTAAGCAATTTTCCAAATTTCTTCAACTAGCCTATTGCATGGGAAGTTCACCTGCTTGACTCCATTTTCTTCTATACGGTCATACGAAAAAATATCTCAAAAGATATTCACATCCAGTTCGTTCCTTCCAAACACTTCGGTTCCGCATTGCATCTAAATGGGATACGAACATATTAAAAAAATATCATCGGAGCCGCATACCAAGTAGGCCAGCAAGTAAATTCCCCTCATGGTGTCTATCAGTTTTCTGTACCTGAAATTCAAATCGCACGCAGCTAATTTGAATACCGCCCGATGAATGCTAAAAGAGCCGAGATTTCAAAGATGTTCTCAAAGCTTCCCACAGTGCGTCTTCTTATATGCATAAAGCGAAGGGTTGGATGTTTGGGATATTATAATATTTCTGTCAAATTAATAATATCTATAGGAATTTATTATAGTTTATAATAATGGTGAAAGTGTTCAGTATACCTTGCAGGGGTTATTGAATGTATAAATAATCGGAATCTTTCTGTCTGACAAGATGAAATGGAGATATTTTAGGCTTACGAGACTCATATATCCTCAATGACATGCAAATATTTAAGGAGTTGATTCTTTGACCCATTTTAAGAAAAAAAATCATATGAACTTGTGTTCTACGTCTTAACTTTTGAGATTCAGGGCGACCAAGTTTAAAAAAATCTTTATTTGATACAATTCTAGATACCTTTATGAAATATAATACACATCTTCTATGCTTCAAGATGCATTTTCTGATGCACAAATAATATTTTATCAATTCGACCAGTGGCGTCCGTACGGGTTTTGCATCGATTGTTTTCGGAGAAAAAAAAAATAGTAAGCCACGACTGCATTACATAAATCTTCATTTCTAAGCAAATTTTGTCTCTTTAATCTTTTTTCGTCCGACGCACGGCATTAGCTTATAAAAATAAAAATCGTTTTACTTCAGAGTCAAATCGCTAAAAATCTGATGTGGAGACATCGTTTTTTTCTTTTTTGAGCTATTGAGTTCGTTCAATATCTATTATTAATCAATTCAGAAATAGGTAGCTGATTTTACTCCAAAAGAAAACACTCAAGTGGCAATAATTTAGCAGAAATCCTCGCTGAAATTCTAGCGTGGTAATTATTGTCACTTGAAATTTTTTTTAATGTTTTTTCCTAAAGCAAAATCAGTTACTTATATCTGAATTAATTGAAAATTGATAACAACTTACGAATGGTTCCGCTTTAAATAAATCTATTGCCATTCTATTTCTATCTTTTGTATACAATCAAAGTAAAATCAGTTACTTATATCTGAATTAGTTAACAATTGATATTAAATGAACCCAATAGCTTAAGAAAAACGATCAGTCACTCCATCAGATTTTTAACGCTTTTACCCTAAAGTGAAAAAAAAAAAATTTGCTCTGAAATGGATAATTTGCAAAACTGGTTTATGTCTGAAGATCCATTTTTTTCAAAACAAAAAAACAGTCAATCCACTGGTAGAAATAATGAGATTGTATCTCAGAAGTTAAGACTTTTAGGACACGTTTATTAGAATGGGTCCAAGAAGACTTTTTAAATTTTAGCATGTCATTGAGGAACAGTCTGTATAGTACATATTTTTTGTGTCGTTGATTACAAATTTTCAAGATCATGTCAAGAACATCTTCAAAACAGTCGGGCGGCTAAGCCTAACCACCTGTCATTTAGGTTTCTTTGAGTCTGAATCAGTCACTATAAGGATATTTGAAGGTCATTTCAAGGTCGCCTGAAGGACATTCAAAATAGACCTTACAGAAAAGTCCAGAGATCAAAGATTGGTTTGTCTCTAGGACAATGAATGAATGAATCTTAAAATTTAGAGGCATCCCGGCCACCATAAGGAGCCAGTGCATAGGCCGCTTAAGCGGGCCCTTATGCACCTCTACAATACTTAAATCACAAGCCTCGCCCTTTTAGCGAAGTTGAGAACCGGCTTGAGTCCAAGCTCCTTGACGTCCTGAGGGTCCAAAGTAATGGACCCCAGTATAGTCTGCCTATAGTAGCTCAGAGCTTCACAGCGACACAAAACGTGCGCCGAGGTCTCTTCCTCTACTCCGCAGCGTTCGCACAAGGGATCCTCAGCCACCCCCATCACGTGCAGGTGACGCCTTAACGTGTTATGGCGAGACAACAGTCCCACCAGCAACCTTAGGTTGGCTCTAGGACAACTCGAAAGTCAAATTCAAAAAAGTTCAATAATCAAGTGCGATCACATGCGATGTCGTATATGTAGATAAGATTATACTTCTCAATAGTAGACAATTATTATTGTCTATATTGATACATTAGGATAGCTATTACCGCAACTATGACTGTAACATTGTCGGATGGTCGTTATAGGGCACAGAAGAAATGTCTAGATCGCAATGTTGCCAAGTGGGTGAGGACTCAGGACAGATTGTATGGGCATATTTGCCTGACTTGATACATTAGGTTCATTTGCATTTTTAAGAGGGGCTAAGTTATGCCGAACATAATCCTTTATCAATTGATGACACAGCATTGCCTGAGAAGTGCAGAGTCAACCTACTTGACACTATCGTCTTACAATATCCCAGAGTTACGACTCAACGGTTTTTACGCTATCGTCCCATCTATTTATAATAGGAGTGACACATCAATATTGTTCAGAGCCCGGATTGTCATGTGTTTTAGAGTGGAAATACTTCACCTTAACAATTACTTGCATATCTTGACTTAATTATAGGGTTTTTCTTTCAGAAACCATGCGTATTACCAGGTGTATGCACGCAAAATTTTTAAACAATTTCATATGCATAATACAGATCGTTAAAAACAATTTCATACGGAACATCTGCCGGATACAGATAAGCAGACAAGGCAAAGCAGGACAGTCATACGATTTATTGCGGGAGACTCACCATGGACAGTTGCTAAGCATCGACTGGTCTTAATCATAGACATATACTTGCACCTTGCGAATGTATATTTATTATAATGACTTCTACTTTTCGCGACAGACAGACACTCGTTGTTGAAAATATGTATAACGTTATTTTTTTACTACTAACGTGAGGAATCATCATTATTTACCGTATTTCTTTAAGAAGTAGACATTGTCGGATATTAAGATGGGCGCGAGGGGCACCCCGCTCCAGTCGTACAACCTTGCCAGTCTTGTTTTGTTGATTGTATTTTTATTTATCCCATTATTTTGACAGTGAATAAAAAGCAATTGAAGCGTTTTCAAGTGTCAAAGAGATGATGCCCCCTGGAAATGTCACTGAATATTTTAGCACGTTGGCGGATATAAATAATTGTTATTTTTAAAAAAACTTTATCATTTTCAACCAAAACCCTAGTATCATAAAGGATGAATTGTAGCTGTGTTATTTAAAATTATCAAAAACTCAAACGCGTCTGACTTGAGAATCACGCAGTTTGTATACCCAACCTTTACGGCCTATAGCTTTTCAGGGTTGCAATTTAGTATAGTTGCGTTGAACTACAAGAATATAATAATGCAAGATTTGAAGAAATTGAATATTGCTGATTTTCCTGCGAACAGAAATACTACCACCTTTTGCTTCCATTTTAAGATTTCGTCAAGGGTAAGTATACATAATGTAAAAAAAATAAAAAAAATATTTTTATTTAAAGAAAAATCCATTTTTGTATCTTTTCTATAATATCTATAGAAAAAAGATTCCTAACACATAAGTCAGAACGAACAAAAGCGTAGATGTCTATCAGGTTTATATCCTCTTCTGATACGTGTTTATCCGATTTTCATACATGTTTTACAGCTTAACAGACGTCGACTGACATCTCCTTTATCTTGATTCAAACGTGATTTATGTCTGAATTATATTACCGTTTCGTTTTGAGAAGAAGAAACTCATAAAACTTTGAAATCTATAATTTATCACTGGTCGTCTTCGTGTATTCCATAAATCTATTTTATTTCTTTCCGAAGTACCAAGCATCTCTCTCTTTCTTCTACTGTATCATCTGTAAAAGTTATATGCAGGATTTGGAATGGTAGAACTTCAACTTCCGTCGTATATGAAGTATGGGGCCATTAACGTAGGATGGGGATATGTATCGCCTTCGTGTTTTGAAAATTTTTGAAGAATGACGATGCTAAAACAGTAGATCGTAATAGCTTGGTAAACGTTTCCATTATTTAAACTAACAAAGTTCTTCGAAACAAATAACTTTTTTTACGTTCGTCTCCCAGGTGATAGAGCTTAGTTACAAATTAACTGTTTTCATTTCTGGAAAAAATCAGAACTAGTTTTCCCATATAATTACAAACTGTAAAGAGTAGTTTGATTTTGAAATGTTT